GCTCCTGAAGAATATAAAGGTCTCAAGAAGAAAGCCCAGTTTTTGTTAATCATTCATCTAAGACACTTCAACCTCTCTGGGCCTCAAGGTTTCCTTCTGTGAAATGGGGAGAAGGGTTTTTGTTTCCTAGAGTCTGGCACATAAGGCTCACAAAGTGCTTGGAAATGGAAATGGTCTGGATAGCGCATGAGGAGCCATCTGGCATCTCTGGAAAGTAGAAGATTCACAGGCTCCCATATAAATGAAATGCCTGGCCTGGCAGAATGTGATTTCGGGCTAGGAGAACCTTCAGGAAACCAGGCTCCCCCAGCACCCAAATAGCCGGTTCAGCTATGAACTGAAGCTAGGTTGGAACAAGGTTCTGACTTCATTTCCCTGCTGATGCCTCCTGATCTCACAAACTTCTCATTCGAAGGTTGGAAGTAACCCCAAAGTCATGTGACCTAACCTCTTGTCTCAGACTTGAATACCCCCTGGCTCATTCCCTCTTGGGTGGACTCCAACTCTCTGAAAATTCTGCATAATGAGTCAAAAATCCATCTTCCTATAACGTCCATCCCTTGTTCCAAAGACTTGAGTACCCCAAGAAGAGTTCTTCCATAGGACAGTCTTTTACACTTTAAAATATTGAAAATAGCTGTCTCTTTTTCCCCTCAGGCAAAACATCTCCTGAGTTCTATATCACAACTTTTTGAGAGAAACTCAACGGAACACTTTTAGGTTTTTAGAAGAATTGTGAAGTCGCTATATAATTTTTTTCCAGTTCACATTAGCCTGCTGAGTAGTTAGACCCAGAAATTCAAATTTCTATGTACAGTCAGACCTCATAGAGTGAGCAGAAAAACCCAAATGGGAAAGAAACTGAGACAAACAGACTCCAAATGAGCAGGCAAAGGTGATTCAGAAAGTCAGCGGTGGGCATAGGAACAAAGGCCAGGGGGTCTCGATTCTTTATTTCTTTCTGAAAGATACTCTACCCAAGTGGTTATACCGAAGGGGGGCAGAAACGCCAGTGCAGGAGCCCTGGAGGGTCACAGAACACCAGTTCCCCTGGTGCTGAAACTCCCACTTGAGTCTACATGGGGTGGTTTTTCTTGGGAAGTCTCTTTAAAAAAATTTTTTTTATGTTTTATTTATTTCTAGGAGAGAGAGAGAGACACAGGGTGAGCAGGGGAGGGTCAGAGAGAGAGGGAGTCACAGACTGAAACAGGCTCCAGGCTCTGAGCTGGCAGTCAGCACAGAGCCCGACGCNATTTAAGTCAAATATCACCCTGGCTCAGTTCAAGCTCACTTCTTACGTGAAATGTCCTGGGCAGGGATCCTTTTGGAGGAAAATGGGCCTCTGTGGGCATGGCTCCTGGCTGGGAAATTTATTTATTTATTTTTTTATTTTTTTAAATTTTTAATGTTTTATTTGTTTCTAGGAGAGAGAGAGAGACAGTGTGAGCAGGGGAGGGTCAGAGAGAGAGGGAGTCACAGACTGAAACAGGCTCCAGGCCCTGAGCTGGCAGTCAGCACAGAGCCCGACGCGGGGCTCGAACCCACGAACCACGAGATCATGACCTAAGCGAAAGTCGGACGCTTAACCGACTAAGCCACCCAGGCGCCCCTTGGGAAGTCTCTTTAAAGGGAAGTTTTGCTTGCACTTTCTAGGATGGGTGAGCTGAGGTGGCAAGTTGAATATCAAACAGGGGAACGCATGGGCTAAGAGGGGGCGCAAATTCCCTGTACATCACCTAAACTCTGACCCGGCAGTGTAAACATGTGACTCTCGAGTTCTGTACCTGGGTCTGATCCTGTTTTGGGTATGATGCAGGTCTAGGGGAGGCCCTCCTGACCAGGAAATGGAACCCCCCTGGGTACCTGTGCATCTCTGCCAGGAGCGTGGCTTCCCTGGGGACTGGAGGTGACACCCAGGCTGAGCCACTGGAGCAGCAGCAAGAGTGTTGCTCCTGTTGGCCTTGAGCTGAGACCTCTCCCAGATTGAAATGCCTAGAAGCCAAGCCACCCCAGCCTGCAGGATCAGAGTCCAGGCCTTATGTTCATGCCCAAGGAGCCCAAGAGCCCAAGTCAATGCCAAATCTAACCAGGGGCCAAACTCTCAGACAGGAGCCCAGGGGCACAGGTTGGCTAGGAAGCCATCATGCCAAAAAACCCAGCAGGGGCCCGAAGGTCCTGCCCTGTTACGTGAGGGGCCAGTAACCACTGGGTGGAGAAAGGGGCAGAGGCCATTTGCAAAACATGTTTGGAAAAGGAAGCCAGTGCCTGACTATGTGACCATGGGGTACCCGCAGCTCCAGGCTCCAGCCTTCCTTCTGCCCTCCTGCTTCCGGGATGCTCCTTCTGGGATGCTGAGAGCCATCAGGGGGCCCTCTTCTTCCAGGATGGGCAACCACACAGAGAGGTACCTAGGCGGACTGGCCATACTTTTTTGCTAACCTACAACATTGGCATTTTGGGTCAGTGTGTGGCCAATCCACAGTTCTCAGAAGCCCCGGTCCCGGGACTGGGCTCCGCCTGGGACAACCCCAGCACCTGCCCCAAGCGACCCTCAGCCCGACACGCCCCGTCCAGCCAAGCTCTTTAATGCAGGCCGCAGCCATTACTGCAGCCTCAGCTCACACACCCATGGAGCTCATCTTCCCTTTTCGTGAGACAGATTTTAACTCCTTCCCCACCACTCCCTGGCGCTGACAGACTTACAATTGCCCACCTCGTCTCGACTCTCCCAAGCCCTCAGAGCCACTGCCTCCCGTGTCCCTAAGTGGGCAGTGCCCCTCCAACTCATCCTCTGGTCTGGGGCACCCCCTGCTGTAACTTCTGAGCCAGGCGGAGTCTCCAAACTCCCTTTATGATGCCATCCTCCCTGGACCCCCAGCTAAGACGCGGCGGGTTCCTGGAGAGGAGGAGTCTGGGCTGGTGCCAAGGGCCTCAGCTGATGCCACTACCCCCAGGGGACACCTCCCCTCCCCCTCAACAGCGCCGGGGCTTCCCCTTCCGGCAGAGAGGGGTTAAAGCCTCGGGGTGGGGCTGGACTTGCCCAGGCCCCCTCCCCAAGCCGCGCCGGCCGCCCGGTCCCGCGACCCTCCGTACGCTGGGCGGGAAGGCCCGGGCACTTTCGCCCCGTCATGCCCCCTTGCGCGGGGACCGGAGGGAGCCTGTCTCTGCAGGCGGCGGATCCCTCCTGCCTCGTGATCCCCTGGGGCCGCCAGTCCCGGGGCCCCAGCCGATGTCCTCGTCCCCCTTCTCCCGCCCCCAGCCGTGCCATCCCGGCCCGGGCGGGACAGCGGGTCGCGCGCCACCCGGGTCTCCCACCGGCCGTGCTAGGCCCCAAGCGCTCGGGCCCGCTCCTCCCCCGCCCGGCGCCCGGCGGTGCCCGGCCATGCCAGGCGGCGACCCCGGCTCACCAGGGCGCGGCGCAGGCCGACACAGGCCCGACCCTGGGCCGGCGCCCCGGGCCCGCGCCCCGCGCCCCCGTACCGCGATCACGTTGACGAAGGTGGTCTTGCCCGAGTACTGCAGCCCGACCAGCGTGAGCTCCATCTCCTCCTTCCAGAACAGGGCCTTGAACCAGTCCAGCAGCTTGTTGAACAAAGCGATCATGGTCGCTGCGGCCGGCCCCGCCCGGTGCCGGCTGCCCGCCGCCCCTCGCTGCCCTCGCGCTGCGGCCCGGAGCGGCCCCTCCCCGGTGCGGCCCGGGTCCCGCGGCTCGGTGCGGGCGGAGGCTGGAGCGCAGCGGCCGACGACTCGCTGCCCCCGGATCCGCTCGCCGATGGGTGTGGCTTCGGCGCCCTCCTCCTCCGCCGCCGCCGCCGCCGCCGCCCTCCCGCGCCGCCGCTGCCGGGCCGTGTCCGGCTCGCACCCGAGCGCGCGCCCCTCCCTCGCCCCTAGCGGGGCCCGCGGGTGGGGTGCGTGGGGAGCCCGCGAGCCTCCGGGATACGGCCTGCGCCTGCTGGCGTCCGAGGGCACTGGGAAAAGAGTGCTCCTTTTAGGACTTCCCCTTCCCGGGCTGTGGCGCCCTGGCTGGCACCCCTTTCCTTCTTAAAGGGTGGTGGGCCCGAGGTGCGTGGGGTCCCCGTTAATCAGGGTGGAGAAGGATGCTTCACCCACTTCCCAGGACCCGGAGATGAGCGCTCTATGAAAGGGAGAGAAATGGAGGCTTTTTGTTCCCTGAATCCTTGCCTCTGAACACCTCTGGGGAAAGAGTCTTAGGCTTTCAGAACCTAACCAGCAGAGAGTAACAGCAAGCAACCGTGTTTGGCTGTTTTACTACTCCATCTTGTTTTGTTAACCACAGTTTACCTGAACTGCGTGTTTAGGAAGCCTCTGGTCCAAGAGTGAAACAGCTGTTTGAGGCTGATGCCGATTTTCACGAGTATCACCATAATTCATAGATAAAATCCTGCCGGGGTGGGTGGGTGGGGCCAGTGAGGAAGATCTGCAGCGGATGAAAAAGTTGGCCTGTTTTGGTAAAAGCCAAAGTTTTCTTGGGGAAGGAGGATTGGCGGTGGGAGGTGGAGGGCGGGCCGGCATGCCTCCCTAGCCCCAGCGCTGCTCAGCCTTGGGGCTGGCTATTCCCCAGTCTTTCCAGGCTTCAGGGCAGCTGCCCACCTAGGATGAATGCCCCTTAGTATTGGGTTTTCAGACACACACCCATGTAGTCTCCTGTTCTATTTCAAGGTGCAGAAACTGTCAACTTAAAGCACATCTGTCAAACATACCCAAGATGACCAAATGATCAAAAATACTTGCTGAAGTGAATGGATCACAGAGTATCATCTTTCTAGCTTCTGCCCTTCATAGGTCCCTGTCCAGCTCTTAAGGTGCACCTCTGTCCTATTTCCCAAACTGACTACAAGGTCACTTTGTTTGATGTGTCTCAAGAAGTTGCTAGAAAAGTGCATATCCTGGGAGAGGTATCTGCAGCCTACTCCTGGTCTACAGAGTCTTAATCTATTGCTATAAAGAGGTTCCAGAGGCCTGAGAAAAAGAAGGAATGAATCAGTCATCCAAGAAGTCTTTATTCTCCCACTTGGTTCCTCTTCCAAAACTGTACACTCTAAGTTCTAGAATGGGGTTGGGGCCACAGTGCCAGGGCAGGGAGGCTGTGGGTCGATGGCCACCCACTTGCTTCCCTCCTGGTTGAGTCTACGCCCAGGGCGGGATCAGGCACTTGAGAGCTCTGTCCCCTCCTTTACGGGCACAGGCTGTGAGTGCCTCCCAAAGGACTTAGGAGAGGTGTGGGTGCAGGTGAGCCCGTTCCCGGGGCGGTAAGGAAGGAGGAATTCCGTTGTGAGACCAAGCAGAAGTGTTAAGAAAATTAACCTCAATTTCAACGTTGCCATGTGCTTCAGAAGAGATATCGTGAATAAGGAGGCCCAGCTGCTCTTCAGGGTCCGGCTTGTTGGGGTGGGGGGGGTTCCACAGAAAGCTCGCATCAGCCAAGGCAGACCCCAGGGGCTCGGTGCCCAGAGAGATGGTGTCTTTCTTCATCCCCACAGGCAGCCCATGTTGGATTCAAGGACAAAGTCTCTGGATACCTTCCTGGGGAGTGTAGGTGAGCCCTGAGATAGATCTTGGGTGCCCTGGAAATTGTATGGGTCCTGAGGTGATGAAAGAGGTTAGCTCTCTGGAAGAGTTTATGAAGGTCCCAACTCTGCGGTCCCAGCCTGATGCCCCAGGTCTGTGTGCGGTGCTTTTCCCAGATGGTTCACGGAAACAGCCAGGCTCTCCAGCTGTCCTCTGCAAATGCAGGGGGTGGATGGTGGAGGACAGGGGGCTGGTTTTCTAAGATCAGGCCAAGCTCCTTGTTTCCTCCTTGCCCTTCATTCTTTTGCACCTCCTGGTACTCAGGGTATCTTCTGAGGTCATGAAGGGAAGACAGAAAATGCTGGGCCTCCCTAGGGAGTAGCTGGCAATGATAGAGGCAGGGGCAGCCCTCTGGGCCTCTGAGGGGTCACCACACTTTTCTTCCTCCAAAGGTTTCAATGCCTGGCCTGGTCACCTCTGTAGCCCGGTCCCAGGACATACGTGTCCTTATTCTCTTTGGCGGGTGTCCAGCCATCACAGATGTGGGGTAAGGAAGCAGAAAGTCACTGCTGGGATGTTGAGAACTTGGCCACAGTCATGACCAGACATTTCCTGGCTCCTGCATCTGGCTGGTTCTTGGGTAGGGCCCAGGCGGAAGATGATCTTGGGATCACTCTCTTGGCAGCCCCAGGAAGGGGATCCAGCTAGAGTGGCTTCTAGGAGCTTCTCTGATTACTTTTTCCTGTGGCAGCAAAGCACTTAATGTCCATGTCATAGACGGAGAGATGAAGCTCACAGAGCCCTTTAAGAAAAAACGGAACACTGGTCCTTTCTCAACTCTCTCATAAATGCCAGTTCCCAGCTTGAAGTTCAGAGAGACACGGAAGGTCCCCTCAAGTGTCCATTTGGGGCTATTAGAGGAAGTGGAAGAGTGGCCAGCTGTAAAGACCTGGAGTCTGGTCCCCGTTCTTGCTGATGCAACTTCCTGTGACTGCAGGTGCCCGCTGAAGGGGCAACCCTTCCCCATGCCCACCCAGGGGACCCCTCAGATCACAAGACCCACTTTCCCCAGAACCACCTGCCCAGGCGTGGGGGAATTTGGCGTCTGGGCTGGTGGAGGGTGCCAGGGGTCAGGGGCAGGGCTCCTCTGGCAGCTGGGCTGCATACAGGGCCAGGGTGTGGTGCAGAAACTGGTATTGCTCCGTGGTCTGGATCATTCCACCCCTGCAAGGAGAATACGCAGCCACCATGAGCAAAGGAGGGCAAGTCGAGCATCTCTCTAGTTCTGTAGGGAGAGTCTCCCAAAGAACCCGTCAGCCCCTTTACATATGTTCATCCTTCGGGTTTTCTACTCCTTTCTGCTGCCCTTCAGACCTTCCCCAAGAGGAAAGCCCCTCTGCCCCTTGCTCAGGCCTGAGCCCCATTGCTGGCTGTGCCGAGGAGGAGACAGCCCACACTGGGACTTGTCCCTCTCTGACCCATCTGCTCCTGGGGCAGCACCAATCCCCGGATTCCTCAGGCCAGGCCAGGAATATTCCTGAGCCTCCAGGTTTCCTCCTCCCTGTCTTAAAAGTAAAAATAATAATTCTATAAATTTATACAGTAAGTTCTCCTGTTTGGAAAACATGTTCACAATGCATTAACTCATTCCTTAAAGCAGCTCTCTGACGAAGGAGCCATCATTTCTCTCGATAAAGAAATGGGGGCCCGGAGAAATACAGTGATGGCTCAGTGAGATGCAAGTCAGAATTTGCACCCCGGTTCTCTGTCTCCAGATCCAGAGGGCTTCTGTACATTATCTGTGCCGGCCTAGTACCTAGAACCAACCATACCCCAACCCTCCGCCTTTCCCTGAGCAGGGGATTTGGAAAAACAAAAACAAAACTGAAAAAGATATAAGGCTCAGATCTCCACAGATTGGCATATTTAATTCTAGGCCCCCAAGCTAAAATTTTAGAGATGCTTTCCTGGGTGTTAGTTGCACCAGAAACCGCTCTTTAAGCAATGGGCCCTTTGCCTTTCTGGAAGGAAGTGCTTGATGGCGATGTGCCTCTAAGTGCCCTGGTGCCCAGGAAGCACTGATGCCACTCCTTCATGTCTTTGGTCCTATTTACATCCATAGACCCACCTGTCCAGCCGAAGTTGGCACACGATACCAAGAATGTCCACTTCCCCTCGGGCCTTCAGCTGTTGACAGCCAATTCGGGTGGCGATGAAGCAGCCAGTCCGGCCAATCCCTGCACTGGGTGCAGCCAGGGAGGGGAGAGGAAGGTCACAGAGGACATGGGGGCCAGGTGAGTGGAAACTAGGAGGGCCAGGCCTCAAACTACAGAGAAAGCCATAAGGACGTAGGACACTCTATTTTGGGGCTGGGGACATGAAGATGGAGGAAGGTAGCAATACCTTCACAACTGAGAGTTGGCACTGGGGCAGTTGAGACTTCTTCCAGCCTCACCACAGACCTATCCCAGGTCACCCTCCGGCCCCGGTGGACATTGTGATGAGCTCTTTTCTGCTTAGCAACAGGCATGGTTTCTAACTCTCCGTGCTCCCGCTGGGCTTGCTGAGCCCTTGAGTCCTCCTTATCTGACCAGGACACCATCTCCACAGCTGCTGACACTCAACCCCCTTTCCCACCTTGGGTCCCTCCCACAGCTGTCCCCTCTACTCTGCTGCGTCTTGCCCTTTATTTCAAAACCTTTTTAAGATTCCCAGTCTTTGGGAAGACTTCTTATCTGAAGCCCTGATAGAAGCCACTCATGACCTCCCAGGCACCATGTCCAGGTGCCCCCCTGTGGGGAAGAGGCTCATGGGCCCCCTCTGTCTATACTTGTGCCAGTATGTTCTATTCAGGGTATGCACTCCCAAAAGGTTACCTTATTGTAAGCTTGTCTCTCGTGTTACTCCCCTCCCCACCTCAATCCGATTCTTACTCTGTAGCCAAAGCATTCCTTTAAAATTTTTTTAAATGTTTATTTTTAAGAGAGAGAGACAGAGCACGAGTGGGAAAAGGACAGAGAGAGAGGGGGACACAGAATTCTAAGCAGGTTCTAGGCTCTGAGCTGTCAGTGCAGAGCCCGAGGCAGGGTTGGAACCCATGAACTGTGAGTTCATGACCTGAGCCAAAGATGAACACCCAACCGCCTTAGCTACCAGGAGCCCCATTATTAAAAAAAAAAATTTTTTTTTTGAATGTTTCAAAGCATTCCTTTTAAATGGCAAGTCCAAGTTTCTTAGTCAGTCCTACGAGGCCCTTTGTGATCTGGCCTTCCAGACTTCTCTCTCATCGCTCTTCCTTTCCCCCACATGACCTCTGAGCTCCCATCTTCTAACTCTGCTCCCAGCAATATGTCCATTTAAAAACTTCATCTCAGGGGGTGCCTGGGTGTCTTAGTCGGTTGAGCATCAAACTCTTGATTTCAGCTCTGGTCATGATCCAAGGGCATGGGATCGAGCCCTATGTAGGGCTGCTTGCTGAGTGTGAAGCCTCCCTCCCTCTGCTCCTCTCCCCTGTTTGTGCTCTCTCTCTCTCTCTCTCTCTCAAAAGAAAATTCATCTCAGAGCTTTTGCACATGCTGTTCATCTGCCTGGAATGCTTCCTCTTTCCATTCTTCATTTGAATTCGCCTTTCAGATTTTAGCTTAGTTTAGATGTCCTTTCTCCTAGAAAGCCTTCTGTGGCCTAAGTTTGGGATGGGCAACTCCGTTCTGTGCTCCCACACACCTCCCACTGTGCCATGCTTAATCATTTGATCTGCTCTCTTTCCCACCAGACTATAAATTCTCTCCCAGTCAGGGGAGAATCCAAGCTGTCTCCTTAGCATCCAACACTGTGCCTGACAGTAACTGGTTTTCAATAAATAGTCATTGAATAAATGAGTTTCTCAAGCACATGGGTGGCTCAGTCGGTTAAGTGTCTGACCTCAGCTCAAGTCATGATCTTACAGTTTGTGAGTTCAAGCCCCGCGTCGGGCTCTGTGCTGACAGCTCAGAGCTTGGAGCCTGCTTCAGATTCTGTGTCTCCCGCTGTCTGTATCTCCCCTGCTCACACTCTGTATTTTCCTCTCTCTCAAAAATAAAACATTAAAAATTTTTTTTAATTAAAAAATAAATGAGTTTCTCAACACTGGGGACCCTGTTTATTTCCTTCTCCAGAAGACTGGGACGTATTCTGATATTCTGTCCCCTCTCTGGCTTGTACCTGAATGTCCAGCCCAGATGGCCGGATTCTGCATGAAGGAGAGAATAAGAACAGAGCACTTGCTGAATAACCTAGAGATTCCCATCCACGTAAGAATTGGCCTTTCCAGTGCTGTCCTTCTTAGACTGCTTCCAAGGAGAGACCCAATGGCAGGAAAGGAACCCCTGCTCATAGGCTGCTGGGGAGGGCGAGGCCACATACCTGCAGTGGACCACGATGGGCCCAGTGTTGGCAGCTGTCTCGGGGCTTTCCTCCACCTCGGCCACCAGGCGCAGCAGGGGTCCAGCCGATTCTGGGGTCTGGTGGTCAGGCCAGGCCGAGAAGAGGACATGCTTCACTACCCGGCACTCCTCCTGGTGCTGGCATAGGAACAAGGCATGAGAACCAAGGTCAGGGTAGGGGGCGCTGGCAGCCTTCTGGTACCAGAGGAGGGCAAGGGCTAGAATTCTTCCCTGGGGCAGTCATGGGCCCCAAGCAGGCAAGGCCAGCCCTTCTCTGGCTCATTATACTCCACCATTCCCTCCTTTGAAATGCTGGAGAAGGGGGAAGCATTGAAATGGGAGAGGGGGAAGACCCAAGTTTAAGTCCTGGCTCTGCTTCTAATGAGCGTATGATTTCGGGCAAGTCCCTTAACTTCATTTACTTAGAAAAAGGAGACAGTGATATCTTATTTGTTTCCTTCTCAGGATGCTTGGAGGATAAGGAGTTAGGAGAGAAATGCTTTGAAAAGTATAACATGCTATATGATAATAGGAGGCATTTTAAAGCACCTCACGTGTGTTATTACACATCTCTCTGGATTTCCTGTGGTCAGCATGACTCTGGGACCCCACCTCTCCTCTCCTGAGCTATTGATGGATGGATGGGCCTTCCTGGTGGTTTCTGCTTGGCTTGTTGGCCTTGCCTTATTAGACTAGGGAAGTGCTCATGTTCTCTTTCTTCTTGCTTCAGTTCTTCTCCTAGATGGGTGTTCAAGGATGAATAAACCCTTGGATCCCAGTAAAGGTCAGGCCCGACTTCCAGTGAGGCTGGAGACAGACAGACTTCCCTGTACCTGGATGGTGAGCCACCGCACAGTGTATTCTGGACACTCTTTTGTGTCTTGGATGCGGATTCGGAAGGGTCCATAGGTTTCCTCTTCTGTGGGCCAGTAGTGGACACATTTCTAGGAGGGAGGGAGCTGGGAGTCAGAAGGGGGAAGTGTCTATCAGCTGGAGCAGGGGCCAGGACAGCAGAGAGGGGAGTGGGGTCCCCTCCCCATTTCTCTCCCCCATCGGAGGGGCTCCGCACTGCCCTGAGTCAGCAGGTGAGGTGCTGGGCTCTCCTGAAGGTGAAGTGCTTACCCAATTCCCCATTCTGGCTGTGGATAGGCTCGATGGTGTATAGCTCAGGAACTTTTCTGAGAAGTTCAAGCTGGGCTTGGCTATAGGTACTGTCAGATTCCAGGGGAGCCCCTAGTCCCAAGCTGCCCTGAGTAGGGGCAGGTGGTATGGGGTGAGAGGTAGCCCTTTCTGGGTTCATTAAGGACTGTGACTCCACCTCCTACCTCCTTGCCCTCTCGGAGCTGAGTGAGCATGACAATGAGTGACACTTCTTCCTGCCACACCATCTCCCAGAAGTCCGATACAGTGTTGGGCATGGGGCCCTGGGTCGCAATGTAGACCTTCTCCTGACCGTCATAGCCCTGGGGAGGTGGATGCACAAAAGGAAGGGGGGAGCAGTGAGAGGAGACCCCCAGGGAACTCCTGGAATCTGGGGGCCCTGGAGTCAGGCTGAAGCCACTGAATGTGCACACACAGACATACATGTGCATGCTGGAAACCTCGCGGTGGAAAGGACACAGGTTCTGGAGGGAGGAACACGCGGGTTCAAATCCCCGTTCTGCTGCTTACTAGCTATGCCACCACAAGCAGGTTACCTAGCTTCTGTAAGTCTCCGCTTTCTCATCTGTAAGTTAGGCAATAACAGCTATCTTGCAGGAATGTAGCACAGATTGCATTCAACAAATCATATTGAGGGTCTAGCACTATCAGGTCCTTTGTAGATGTTTGTTCCCTTCCTCTCCTATTGCATTCTACTAGCACAAAATTAAAACAAAAACAGAAACAAAAACGGTGTCCAACCTTGGTTGAGTGAATGTTTCACTTTTACTATTTCTTTTATACATTTAGTAGCAAGACGTGGCACACTCTTGCTAGCCCTTTTCTCTCCCCTTCAGAATCTCAGCCTCTCAAGATAATGAAATCCAGGTCACTAAGTTTCTGTTTGCGAATGGGAGATTTGCAGAGTCCCCAGTTAACAGCTTTCAATCTCTTGGCCAAATCTGATCTCTGTCCTAGCCACTTTGAGCCACTAGAGGGCGCTATTTTTTTAATAGCTACTCGGGGCCAGTAGAGGTGGGAAGCTGGGGTAGAGAGGCCCACCTTGCCTCCCTGGTTCCTATAGTTTGATGTTAAACCATTTCCACAAGGGAGGGGCTGTTTTGGGAGCAGTTAAGGCTAGAGAGACAGAAAAGGGAGGCAGCTGAGAGCTATTTGTGCTAGCACCTTCCATGCAGACCTAAGTGCGAGGAGCCCTGGGACTACGAGGGAGTGGGTTCAACAAGGCAACTTCCTCCGTGTGTAGAGGGTTGGCTGGGATGACGTGATAACGTGCGCGTTAAGGAGATTTGGTGGTTTCTTCTTTTCAGCCCAACATCTGCTGTTTTCTCGGTTGGTGTCTTGGGGCCTCTTTGGTGTCTGTCCCAGCTTGGTGGGGCCATGGCAGTAGTGGTTTGGGACCCCAGTTGGACGATATTCTCTGGGGATGCCTTCAAACACAGCGCACCCCCAACCCAGACCTGGCTAGGCCACTCACTCGGATATAGTTGGCGTTGATGTAGTCTCCGTCTTCTTGGCTCTGTGCCCGGCCTAGACAGACGCGGCTCTGGGGATCTAGGAAGTAAAAGTCAGCAGAGGTCAGAGGTCAAAAGGGGCCAACTAAGGCGTACTCCGACAGGGTCAGGCAGAGGTGAGTTCCCATGCAAATCACAGTACTTTGTGTGTAGCAGGTGGCCAGGGACCCCCCAAATTACTTTATATGCAGACAGTAAAGAGCCACACAGAATGGTTCTGAGCAGTAGAGTGACGTGTTCAAAGGAATAACTGGGGAAGTTTCACTGGGTTTAGGACGGCTGAGGAAGGAGTTGAAGCAGCAGAAACCTAATGGGCAGATATTGGAATATTCTAGCCTTGAAGTCAGTAAGAGGACGGAGCACGATCCTGCCAAGAAGGCAAGGGAGGAAAAAGGGATGTCATGGAAGAAGAGTCTTTTCCTTTCTTTCTTTTTGAATTTATTTTAGAGAGAGAAAGCGTGAGTTGGGGAGAAGGGCAGGAGAGAGAGAGAGAGAAAGAGAGAGAGAATCTTAAGCAGATTCCATGCTCAGTGCTGAGCCCATCCAGAGGCTCGATCCCACCACCCTGGGAATCATGACTGGAGCCGAAATCAAGAGTCAGACGCTCAACTGGCTGAGCCCCACAGGCGCCCCAGGAAGTTTTTTTCTGATGGTGAATATGAGATTTGGATGAGTGACTTGCCTAAAATCCCGCAGTGGTGAAGTGGGACCAAAACTCGGGTTTCATTCTGCCACTGGGCGTGTCAGACTCTCCCTTGAAGCGGGAGGGCTTTCTCCAAATCCAATCCAAGCCAGGATGAAGAAGTTAGCTTGTAAGGAAAGGAGACTAGCTCTCCCAGGGCTGGCCTGGTTCTGGACAGAGGGGAATTGCAAGCAGAGGGAACTCTCCCCTTTCTCCTGGCCCCGGGGGGGGGGGGGGGGGGGGGGGG